CCTTCCTCCTCACCTGTTCTAACTACTCAACAGTTTGGGGGGCTGGGATTGTTTTTGTTTTTTCACCTTCTTTCCAGACATATTTTAGTGGGAATGGAGGAGGCTGGTACAAGGAGGGGAGGGAAAGGTGATAGTTAAATGATTACAGCAAGTTCCTCACTCAACATTTTTACACAGTGTAAGTCTGCTTATCATAATAAATGCCAAGGCGTTAGGCAAGATTTAAAATTACATAGCTTAGATAATGACACAGACCTTCTGCTTAACTAAACTTTAGTCAGGCTCTCTCAGCTTCAGCCTCATGTCTGTCCCTGTGGGGCCTGCATTGCCCAATTTTAGCAAGAATCTTGCTAAGTCAGTTTAGAGAGCATCCCCCATCCATCTCTGACATCTGATCAGGCCTGCCCTCAGCAAATATCCTATTGGGTCTGTTTAACCAAATTCCCACCTCTGAGGCTCTGTCTCGGTAGAGTTCCACGCACTCCCCCACCCTGCTTTGGGTTGTATTCAGAATTAAGCTCAGCTCTATCCTGAGGCCACTTTCCCCTTGTTGCAATCATTCTTAAATAAAATTTGTTTTAATGGCCCTCACTACTGGTTTTCCTCAACAATACCAAGTATAATAACCATGCAATTATACTACGTATCACATAAATTCTTCCCTTCTCTCAACAAATATTTATTGAATCATAAAAATCCGGGTAGAATATTGGGAGAAGTAGGAAGTGAGGGGAGCTGGAGGATGACCCCAAGAAAGAAATACAGTGGTCCTCCCTTTTCCACAGGGGATACGTTCCAAGACCCCAGTGGATGCCTGAAACCTCCGATACTACCAAACCTTATAGATATACTATGATTTTTTTCCATGCATACACACCCATGATAAAGCTTAATTTATAAATTAGACACAGTAAGAGATTAACAACAGCTGATAATAAAATAGAACAACTTATAACAGTATACTGCAATAAAAGTTATGGGAATGTGTTCCCTCTCAGCAAACTAGCACAATTTCTTTTTCCTTCTTCACAATTTCACAGAAAGAAGATTTCTTCTTACCAGACAAGTTAGCAACCTCAGTGCCGGGAGCCGGTCCATCCTTGCTGTTTCAAGGGCCCTGCCATATATGGCATACTGTTCTTAATATGTTTGCTCACTTTCTTGGCACTATGTGTTTTAATCAAGGTCACCTCTCTGAGAAAAGTTGTTTCCCCAGGTAGGGATTTTCACCTGAATCTCAGAGAAATGTTGTTTCCCCAGATAAGGATTTTTCCCTGAAGTTAGGAAGGGGATAAAACCCTTTAACTAAGTGCCAGGTGGGTAGTTAAACACTTTAACTACAAACAATCATGCTTAAGCTACATAATCTTTACTCCCTGGAATAGCGATAAGAAACACTCTAACCTTTGCAATAGAAATTGACAGGATTAAAATCAACTGGTATAAATACAGATGTAACAAGACAATAACCACCAGAACTTCACTGGAGATCCAGA